CATTAACTGTATCACGTCGTAAGGCGGCGCGCTGCGGTGCCGTGTGAGAGGCGACACAGCCGAGCGCCCCTCTCCCACGGAGAGCGTTGCCGTCGCCGCCGCCAGTGCATGCTGCAATTAGTTTATAACACTGCGGACACAGGCTAGCGCGCGCCGGCCGACCAGCCCGGCTGACAACTGGACTGCGCAATGGAATTGAGGCCAGGCGGCGCGGAGCCTCCGTGTATTGCCAGGCCATGCAGGGATGAGTGGCAAGAAGATATAGGCAGTTACACATATCTATCGCCTGAACTGCGCTCTAATTCAAATAAGTTTGATTTGGACTTGTGCTTTGATAATGTAGCACGTTATGTTATTTTATTGAATGATAACTCGGTCTTCATCGACATATTGATGATAACTTAGTCCAAACATGTATGCGGCTGAGATTTACAGTGACTTAGGCACTTCACAAATGGCCTCCGTTGTTACAGTTTGGTGAGTTATGATATTTCCTTTATAGCCCTCCCCGTCCATTTCGCTAATTCATACAGCGGCCGTGACCGTGTGATTATCCCAACACCGTGTCTATAATATATATCTCGCCTTATCTAGCATTGTCATAAAGCGTGCTGCCTAGTCTGGAGCATTTATAACAAGTAGCCCGAGCGGGCACTTAGATGCATTGATAACTCGGGCTTACGAATAGACCAGTCGTATGGACGGGCAGCGCTCTTGTCTTTGGTCGGCCCCATGCCGAGAGCGCCACTCGTGTTTGTAACGTCTAATGTGCCGCATGTGCTCGCCACTGCTCCCTACGACACTAACGGGGGGCACAGCGTGATATGATTTGCATAGCAATGTGAACATATAACTCGACAATGTGGGCATACCAGAGGATAGCCATCTGTAACATGATTCGATCCGTTGTACATGCGTCATTGTGATAATATTTCAGCCGGAGCAAATTAATTGATCTCGTTCGGCGCGCATTAGGCAGGCGCACCGCTAATTTCATTGTAACGACTCCCAGGTGCATGGTCTAAATCAGAATCAAACTGTGTCCGGGAACAAAGGCAGCACAGTGCAATTGTGAGGTATAAGAGGTGAAGGTAGTCGCACGAAGCCCAGTCATGTCTCGAGCCGGGTAACACTTGCGTTGCACGGTTCGTGATGCAGCACAACCCTATGACAAATGCGCTTAAAAGAAAAATCCCTAAGCGCCACTCTTCGCGCCGGCTAAATAGGTTTCAGCTGCTCGAGTAGGCTGCGTCCGTTTTCGCCTCGCTTTAATGGCACCATGAATGTGTCAGCGCCGGGCGTCTCGGCGACTTTAAAAGGGGTCATCGCCGGTCCCACGTTTGGAACTGGCCTCCTACATTAGCCGGACGGCCGTGTTTACGGTAAGGTCGGCCGGAGCGCACCTTGAGGTGTTGGGTTCCATAGTTACGACGGTTTCTGGAGACAGCGGTAGCGGCTGTTGCGAGCCACAATCGGACTCATCTGGAGCAGTATCACGGTGCGAGAGTGAGAGAAGTGGGACGGACAGATCTGGACCACGGTCCGGTGAGACTGTCGGACTACTCGTACTGTGACAGAGAGACCGCCCCCGTCACCGCACCGTCTCCTTCCCGGCCGAGCCCACCGCAAACCGTCTCTGATGTTTCCGCTCACTTCCGCCGCTTTGCAGGCGGCCCGGCGGTCGCAACAATGAGCAATGCGGCCCATTTGACTTGGCTCCGAACAATGGAGAGAGGACGGCTTCCAGCGGTCGCCGTCGCGTCCGTGGTATGCGACGCTTTGCACACTCGACCCGGCCAGTCACTGTGGGTTCGTCCCAGACCCTGCGCGCTCTCTGCCCGGCTCTCAGCCGCGACCCGCTCCCAGGCCACTGCCGAGCCGCCGCATGGACATTTTCGGCCATTTAGCGCCGAATTATCCGTATCATTATGTGGGTTTTGCCATTGAGTGAGCCTCACGAGCGACATTAGGGGAGCGGGCTGAGCGGCGGCCGAGGCTCGAAGTGCACCTGCTTGCGATGCGTCGCCTGCGCCGGCGATTACGCGAGCTCAGTGGCAGGCCATGAGAGTAGAGTGGCTGGGAGGCTGCCGACGGCGCTGGAACGTGCGCGCGGACCGCTGAGGATGGGGCGAGTGGCGGTACCACGGCGGTGGGCCGATGGAGGAGGCTGCTGCCGCGGCGGGTGGAGTGCGATGTCGCCAGGGTGACGGTGACTGTGCGCACTTCTGTTGTCTCAGCAGGACTGTCGTGCGCTGTCTGCGCGGACCGGGCGCTTTCTAATAACAGGCGGCCGGCCGCCCTGGTAGCCTCTCCACGCCAAAGTCAATAGAATCTGTAGCGGCGTCACCGTTTGTTTCTGGTGGCATCTGGGTCAGTCTGCTCGTCAGTCGCCCGGCGACAGCTCGAATGTCGCGTGCCACATCTTGCATTTCATATCTCGTGTCTCTCGCGTGCGGCTACTAGCGTCTCAATGCTGTGACAGACCCATTGCTAATACAGACCCAATACTATTGCGATGGCCAATCGCCCATCGCGGTATCAATCGGTCGGCCTATATCAAAGCTCGGCAATGACGGCCGATATGGGAGCGGAGCCGGGCTGATATGTCAGACAGCCCTGCACCGGGGCTTTTCCACTGTGTGCTGATGCGCAGCTGTTGTCAGCAGATACCGTGTGGCAATGCTACATATATAACAAGATTTATGGCGAATCATTGAACAAACGGAGGGCTCTGCTTTGAGACCAGATGGGTGTTCTGCATGTAAGGAGAACGTTATTTACATTCTTGTACGAACGGTGAAATGCAGTTTGACTCGCACGACTGGTTTTGCATCATATAAAATATTCGTACGAAGAGCTGAGAGTATTCCGTTCTCGCTCCAGTGGTTTCTGGCCGCTGAGTCGGCTTGGTCACCGCTCCAGATCGGTCCCACGCCATTGACTCATTGATACTCCCCGGTTGACACTGACTGTGTCACGCGGTGGTGTGACCCGCCGCCACCGGCCGCCGCCTCCAGCGGGCCATGAAAGCCGGCCGGACGGACACCGTGAGACCGTAAAGCAGCGTCAGAGCGCCTGTTTGTCGCCGAGGGGCCGCTTAAACGCCCCAAATGTATTCACATCGGGGCACGATAACCCACCGCTGTGCCGCTCAGCCCGCTGCGCTAATGAATAGCGCTGCTCTAAAGCGTTTGTAAAGTGGTGTTTTGGAGGGGCGGCGCCGATACATCATCTAGCAACACGCACGATGAATGCTCGGACTGCGTTTCCGGACCGTTCACAGGCGGGCGCGCGCACAAGGGACGCTTACAACAGCTCGCGGAGCTGGAGCACGGCGAGGGAATGCCAACAAGCCAGTCGTCGCTACATGGCCGGCAACGTGTCCAAATGCCGCCGGCCTCGGAAGGCAAACGGCTTTTCGAAAGGCCGATGAGAGTTGCCTGCACAAGCAGCGAACAAGCCCCTGCATACGCTGTGCGGTAAAGTGAGGCTGAAAAACGATGCGCCTCGCGCCCGGTTGCTTCATGGGGTGTGATCAGAGATTTAGATCGCAAGATACGCACAAGTGGAGTAACAAAAACTAACACACCGCTGTTTTTGTGTATGGATGACATGCGCAAATGCTTGCACTACATCACTCGCTTGTTCTAATTGTTGCATAATGATGAACTTTTTATTACATCTTAGCTGTTTCGCCTAATGTGCTAAATGTTACCGAAAGTTGCATCTTATCACCTATTGCGTTGTCGCAGAATTTCTTACAGTCTAGTCAGCTGTGCTTTTTGTCGAAATTATTATTGTCTTAGTAAAGGGATTTGCATTAATAACCATTTTCTACTTGTAGCACACACCTTATTCTGTCTTTTTTCGATGACATTGCGTGCTCAAAAGCAGCATATTTACCAGCATTTGTAGCACGAATACACCGTGAGAAACATGGGTGGAGCTTTTCCAGGGAAGTTGGTGGGGCAAAAAGTCGTCAAACCCACAATGTCCGATTATAAAGTTGAATAAAATGCCACACTGAATCAATTCCTATCATCACAGACATATTATTTTGCATCAAACAGGCATTCCAAAGCTATTCAATGCGAAAAAAGATTAATTTGCAAAGCAACAAAGTCTTAGAAATCAGCTAAAATTGGAAGGGCAAAACGCTTATTGGTGGGGCAAAATACCTAGTTGGTGGGGCAGCCGCCCCACCAACTGTATAGGAAGCTCCGCCCCTGGTGAGAAACAACACGAAGCATAGCGGTTGTATCAGGTCCATGAGGTCAGCATTTTTGTTATGCTTTTAAATATATCTCATGCAAACAATGTTCGCTGTAAAGTATTGCCGTCTTATCCCAATTAACCAATTGCGGTACTTTTAATCAATTTCTTATTTGAATATGTTAGCAATCGAAATGTGTAAGTGTGCCCTCAGTGCCTTGATTTATAGCTCACACGAATAATGCGTCCTCATCACGAAGGGCATCGAGATAAACGTTATGCTAAATAAAACGAACACATCATCACAAGCGAACTGTATGGATTTCCCAAAGAAGTCTATCAAACACTTTTTATGGATTAGCGCTCATGAAAATTGTCATGCGTATTTCATGATCTGCTCTTGATTCAAAAACAAAATGTATGTTGCTTTATAAAGTATGTTGGCCTGGTATACACATGAGCCGCCACAAACTTTTTGAACACATCTCGACAGGCCACTCGCACTTCAATTCAACTTTTCATTACATAGTGCCACGATATATTAATGTTTGTTGTCAATAATCAAATCTAGAAGGATATTCACACAATTCAACAGTTATATCGTTGTTATCTGCTATTAACATCGAAATGCGCTATTTTTGTTAGTCATGAGCATATGTGGAAATCAGAACGCTAAATTTATAAGCCTTGAAACTTAGAAGGGCACTAACGTAACAGAGCGAACCATCAAACGTGAGCTAAAACAGGACTATTCGACCTTATCATACAAGCTGAACATGGTCACATACCTCGAAGTTGAAGTTGGGGGCGGCTCCTGCCGATGGCAGATTCACGTTCATCAGCAGACGAGGACGACCACGGGTCAGACAGCTGAGGGCGTCGTCCGGACCGTCTCTCTTCTGTCTCTGAGCGTCTCGGCTGCTGCGTCTCTGTGCGTCTCTGTGCGTGTCACGGGGTCAGTTTGGGGGCGCCGGACCGCGCAGCGTCTCAGCACACACCTCCCTGCAACACGTCTGCAAGTGCACTGGCCGCCTCCGCAGCTGCCGGCCGCCGCGCTGCTCGGCCTCAGATGCGGACGGCCGCTCATTGGTCGCATCTTCGTCTTGGGGGCAGCGACGGCCAGTAGAGCACGTTCCGCCAACCAGATTGGCGGACAGGAGACACAGGATGGCTGGTTGGACAAGGCCGCGGCTCGGGCCGGCGGCGGCGCGCGGCTATCCTGTGTCAGGTGTGAGCGCTGGGCTGTGGGACGGCTCAGCCCAGTTGGTCGGGCCGAGTGCTCCGCAGAGCGGCGGCCCGTCGCGATCAGATGTCGCGAGGGCCCGGCGGCCCCGCGCTGCGGCGGCCCCCCACCCGCCGCCAGCCGCGCTGCCGGCAAAAGAGAGGTGTCAGGTGTTCACGTGATCATATTCTATTGCAATTACTGGCGCGTGTGGCTAGGGAAGAAAGCTCATTTGGCCGATGAAATTAAACACTGGTATTCTTGGATAGAACTTGTAACCGCTTGTACATACATAAAAACCAAGCTTCGAACAGTATTCAGAATTCAAAATGTTAGAAATTTTCTGCCCAATAAGTGAACATAAGTGAATCTTATCTTGCTTACCTGATTATTGTATATTTTATTTCACTAGGACAACTTATATAAAACTAAGCATTAAATTTCGTCAGTGTTTTAGTGAACCATTTAAAAGCATATCTATGTTATCGGGCATTCATGCGAACAATTTTTGTCGATTAAGAATACTCAAACGATATTCAACTGATAGTGCATCTTCGTTTGGTAGTCAAAGATTAAAGTATCCGTCGGAAAGGGTGCTTATATAATACATTTTGTGTACAACCAGCCGATCGATTTGTTCCCGTAACAACACCATGGTGTCCAGTGGTGAACCAGTAAACGAGAACGATAAATGTTCCCTGTTACACGATATCAACTGGTTATGTCTCAAAAGTGCAGAGTACGCCTAATATCTTTCACGACTAGGAAAGTATGGTCGATTTTCTCATGTTGCCGCCCTATGAAGTGTGTGAGATATATTCAACTATTTTCCTGGGCCCATATTGCGACTGATGTTGGCTCCCACGGTTTGTGCACCGTTGAAAATCGAGATGAATCACAGAACACTAAATCGTACATGTCGTTTGATATAAACGTGGGGCGAGCAAATGTCCGTAAGCATTTCATAACAGCGAGCTGATTTTTTTATGATTTGCCTGCTTTGAAAAGTAGGACAAATACAACGTTTTGTGTATCTTATAATTTTTCTTAATAAATTTTTAGCATCCTCTTCTACATTTTAATGTCTTAGGCTGAAAACGACAAACTCATTTTCATATAAGCAGCCCAGAATTTTCAGCATAGCCGCTTTGCACGCAAGAGCAGAAATAGTCGGCTTGTTTTCGAGAAGACGAGGCGCTAACGGATGAGCACGTGCAGAATGTGGAGCCTTTCCTGCCGGTCCCGCCAGTCCAGTTCACGGACTAAGCCGACAGGACGGGGTGTTACATCTGGCACCACCAGTCCGCCCGGATCAGCGCGCGGTGTTCCGCCTTCCGCACGAGCGGGCCCCAGCGGCGGCTCCGGGAACCCGAGTGGAGCCCGTGCGGAAGCCGCCAGCAAGCCAATGCCCCATTCCTCTCCTTGCGCGAGAGGTCGGTTTCGTGCAAATAAACCGCCATATGCTCAAGCGCAATTGTTTCTTTTTATTTATCACTTTACAGTCTGTTCAATTGCGATAGAAATCAAGGGAAGCTCACTTTTAAATTTTCATCAATTGAACAACATCGCTTATTTCTATTCTTAAAAATACACTTGAAGTTCAATATAAAATAATGTTTGAATGATTTTTTTCAGCATGCTCCTTCGATTATCGATGGCATCCTCTTCTTGACCAAGGTTTGACTGTCTCGCCTCACAGTCGATCATTTTTATTTTAGACTTTTCATATAACATCATCATTCATCACATAAAACATCTGCAATCAAAATACCATATCGAATACCAAATGGCACGTTCTTGCTCAACTTTCCGTAGTTAAACCAACCTGATCGCTTTGAACCCAATCGCTGTACACGTACTTACTCAGCGTGTCTGAAATACAGAAGTGGGCAAACAGTCGCTCGTTCTTTTTGTCGCCGGTGCGTCACTTTGGCCGCCGATGACCGCGATAACCCGATGATCTCTAGTGGCATACGGGCGGCGGCACAGCGGTGCTGATGCGGTACTTGCGCGTGGGTGGGTTTTATTAGGAGCACTCTGTGTGGCGAGATCCCACGGGTGGATGATAGGATAGCTTTGGGGGTGGGGGGATGGGGGTGAGAGGAAGACAGGGTGATAACTGGGACAGGAGTGGGATGCTAGTGGATGGATCGTGATGGGATGTAAAGAGCAAAGTTGAAAGGGTGCGGTGCAGTGAGACAAAAACTAACGTTGAAAATGATAATGAAACGACTAAGTAATCAAAGCAAGGGTTGTTTGAACTCTGTATTTGTCACTGGACAACTTGTCATTGGAGTTTTTACTTTTTATTATTGTTGTCAGATGCTATAAGTCCTGACATTTCCGGAGAATAGCTTTATTCCCGACCATGCATTCACTTACACGCATGCTTCTGTACTGGGTAGAGCCCCCCGGCTTATTTTTCGCTTTTCGAGAATCTCCATCAACACACGGGAGTGAAGCTTATGTTCATCGAGATCAAAGAACGAGCTACGAGGATTAGCGTAATGTTTTTTGGAAGTTTGTGTCTGTTATACATGGCACGAGACATTGTAAAACATGCTTATCTATGTTAGCGGGTCTGTCACCTCCCACCAGCTTCATGTTCCGATCCACACAATCACTAACCCATCGTTGCGCTCAAAGCCGCTAACTCTGTCATACTCGCTCATTAACGTGACTTTGAAGGATGAAAGAACTAATGTGCGATGAGAAATGGACACATTTGCTCAGCGTGCAGAACAGATGTGAAAATCTCTTCGGTGTGACATTGGCGCGAACAGGTGTGGATGAGTCATGTCGGTTTATCTCTTATCTAGGTACTCCAGACGAACGGCTTGGTTGGGCTGGCTTAGAGGAAAAAATTCACTTACAGAATAAGTCAAGCGTGAGTGCCCAGCTGTTCATGCCTAAACTAGCGTTGAATGCCTTTTGTTGCCTTCTGTTGATCAATCGGTCACTCCCAGTCGTTCAGTTCAGCACACTCCAGGCACTGAGATGCAGACTGACCGCCTTGCTCACATGCCCATTGCCCTGTTCTGCCATTGGTCACAGCCTTGGCAGCCGGCACCGGGCCATTGTATTGGTCACGTCCGTGACCGAGTGCACGTGACCGGCAGCGGGGCACACTGCCGACCGGTGCCTGACCTCTCCGGTCACCCTATAACGACAGACCGAGGACCCACAGGGTCGCCTGCAATAGCGATATTATAGCCCGCACATTGACAGTCGAAATGATGATCTGAAGTTACCTGAAGGGCTTGGAGAGCACCGCGAACCCAATAACCCCAGCGAGGCTTCGTGATGGGAACAAAACCGCGCTGTGGATGTCGAAAAGGATATCGATTAATTCGAGCATTCTTTGATAGATGTTGTTTGTAGGACCAGTCGATTGTTTATTACCCTTCAAGTAATCTCTTCGAGACTTCAGGAGCTTAGGTCTGTCTAGTATCAAAAAGGAGACGTTCTCTCTCCATAACTGTTTATGTGAGAACCACCGATTTGTTTTGGACAGCTTTTAGGCCGCGTTGGTTCTACATTGATGGTGAACTTTCACATATTTATTTTCATTTAGGTACATCATCCCGAAAGATGTTCCGATACGGACCTCAATGACCTTGACTGTGTCTTACTATGATGTCTTTGAAGTCAGTTTTTACCCGTAACTGACACGCAATGTTAATTACGTACAAATCTCTGGCATACAGTCACGATCTTGCACCTTCAAACAAAAATGCTGTTTCAAAAGCTGGCTGTCAGTCGAGTGCTCAGCGAACATCAACAATGCTATCAACTTAGGACAAGTTTTTGCTGTGATCAAAGCATGAGCAAGTCATTCTAACCGCCACAAATCTATTGACAATAAAAAAAGACCTAGCTTCTGCTGTAACTGTTTCATTACCCACTGTACCTATAAGGACTTGACGTACCGCTCATTTGTAATATTTCATTAGCTGTGCTGTTGAGCTGGCACCTCAGTGATCGTCGGTCCATCACCCTCGCCGCTGTGACAGCCATTAGACCCTGGAGAAGGCACCGTTACTTCCTCCGCGAGAAGCGACGTGGTTCAATTTCGGCGCATCGGAGGCGATATCAGTGGCCCTGCGACAAAAATCGAGTCGTCTTGAGCGTGAGTGGGTTTGGTCGGATCGGGGAAGAACGTGACGGGGAAGAGGGGAGATGAGTGAGGAGGTGCAAGCACGAGTGAAAAGAAAAAGAAAAGAAAAGACTGTGCGGGTGATTTATTGGGGAGATTATTGCTGCGTTTGGACTGAGAGTGTGAAGACGCGAATTTATCGTTTTCCAAGAATCTAACAGTAACTAGAAATCCTCGTATACCGTATCACATTTTCTGTTTATTTATTGTGCACTTTTCTGACTTTGTTTTACTTACGACGCCTTGATTTAATCATTTTGAACACATTTGTAAATTTGCATTAAAATTGAATGTTCAAGATTCATTCTGAAAGAAAAAGTTTTCACTCAGCGCGGATGCATTTTAGTGGGTTGATTATGATCTAAGAAAGAAATAGATCCAGATGAAATTAATAATAAAACTAAATGGTCAATTGTCCGAATACAAGATCCTTTGCTTATTCGTAAACAATGCTGCGCCAACAATTTAAAACATGGATGTAAGCTTAGAGAAGCATTCGATAATGACTGAAAGCATTGTGTATGTAACTAAGATGCTGATGGATTGCGCGTTCCACCCCTTGCTTTACAAAGAAAAAATGCCTCCAATGCATGGTCGACAACATTTGTGAAATTTTATTGTCGTCAGCTGTTGCATTACTAATGTCGTTTGACATCAATTAGTGATGCTTATCATCAGTACCTAATACAACCATCGAAATATTGAACTAT